ACCTGTGTAGAGATATGTGTAGTGAACATGAGGCTTGGAAATAAGTTAACTACATTCTGTGGCACAAAGCCTAACTTGCGTTACTGCTGAAAGGATGACAAAATGCTTTATATGGAAAACCTAATGGCTCCTGGAAAGATGTGTCGACCAATTGCAGACAATTTCAATTTCCCTTGTGTTTATGTCCAGGCTCGTGACTCTATCGTCGTTTGGAGTTTTTTTTTTGGTGAATAGGTGTTAGTTAGTTGGGCCACTGTTGCCTAGTATTTTATCTGAGCTCACCCACGGATAGACTCAATCATCATCTTCAACCTCACAAGCTGCAAAAGAAAACTCCGACCAACCATTTTCAACGCACGTCTCAAATTATTCTGAATCGACATTCCAGAAAAACTATCATCCAATGTCGTCCAACAAAGGTCAGCAAACGCTTGATTCGTGGATAAAGTCCAGGCCATCAAGACCAGTTGCTTCAACATCTCAAGCAAGAGGAGCTTCATCAAACCAGCACCCTTATCCATCCAGAAGTAGGCGAGACGATCCATACAGGCGAGGCGTTGCGCTCGCAGCTATAGCAAAGGAAACGCTGGCAGTCCTCCCTGGTATCATTTCTCAGTTGCCGAATCTCGACCCCTGCAGATCAGAGAAGCTTGAGATTCACCAACTACCTCCGCTTACAGCTGCCGAATGTCCTAGACGGACACCATCAGGCAAAGCAATTATTAGAATTTCCAACGATGACAGTTTCAACGCGGCTATACAACTTTCGGATCTCAAAGGACCCGCATCAGGTCGCGTTGCGGTACTGAATATGGCAAGCCATGTCAGCCGCGGTGGAGGATGGTTGAAAGGAGCGCGTGCCCAAGAGGAAGCGTTATGCTATCGAAGCTCGCTGTATCTTTCGCTGCACAAAAGATATTACCCGTGGAGGCAACGCATGGGTATATACACCCCTGATGTTGTCATTATCCGCTCCGATCAGGAAACCGGACATCAGCTTCTCATGCCTGCTATCCAAGCCCAGAATTTGCCTGTCGTCAGCGTTCTCAGCATCGCAGCCCTACGCACACCACCCGTCAGGGACATTGTGTTGAACACGCCCAAAGGTCCTGTGGACAGTAAAACCTACGCACATCGTGCTGATCGCGATCTCACCAAACTCAAGATGAGATTATGCCTTCGAATGGCAGCACGACGAAACCACGGCTTGCTTGTACTTGGTGCCTTGGGATGCGGCGCGTTTAGAAACCCACCGGAGGAGGTCGCTCGTTGCTGGCTGGAGGTGCTGAAGGAGCCCGAGTTCCAAGGTGGCTGGTGGGAAGAGGTTTGGTTTGCTGTGTATGATCGCAGAGGCGAGGGAAATTTGGAGATTTTTGAGGAGATACTCGGTGGTGCTGAGGTCTGAGACGAGGATATAGACGAGTAAGACCTGAGAAGCATGGGCATTAGTGTAGGCTTAAGCCAAGTGTAATCGTTTTTCTATTTTCCCCCTCTCCTCTGATATTATTTTATGCACCCCGAGTGAAATCCTTTTTCCATCCCCAGCCCCCAAGGAAAGCAATCGTCAAAGGGACTGGCTCTAGTCGCAACACAAGCTTACGTTGACAAGAACAGAATCGTGCCTCCCACAATATCTCCCAATCCTAGAGTCTCAAATATAACCAAACCACTATTTCTAAAGTTCTATGTCTATTGATCTTCGTTGTTTTCCAGTATTTACGGAATCGGCCCGCCAATTTGGACCCGGCAATGTGGAGCCAACGGCGCCGGTGGTCCGGACAATCGGCGGTACTGTAGCGTCTGCAGCTTAGCTCGGCATATGAAATAGTGTCTTGGAAAAGCTTGACATTTGAATTAGACAGTCTGAAACAGAAAGGGAACGTGATTGGATGTTGGATGTCCAAAAATGAAAATCCCACGTTGGCGTTGCCTTTGGCTGAGAATCGTCATAACGGGTAATATGGCATAATTGATCAGGGTTGCTTTAGCTGAAGCATAAACGAAGAGGATCTTGACTAGCGAATAACCTACAGCCTCTGTCTTAATAGTTAGGTAATTACACGGCTGAGATCTAAACTTGTGCTACAACACCCTCTCGTTCTCGGATTCACTCAAGGATGCTTCAGCACTTGACGCTAGCAATCTCAAAATCTCCACTGATGTACCACTTTTATGGTCTGCAAACTCTTCCTGCAGGATATTTTGATGTCGTGATCAGCGGTGGTTATTGCGTTTTAGAGAACCCCAGGTTTGCAACGCCACAAATGCATTCGAGAATGATAGATCCAAAAGCAAAGAAGCCACATGCAGATTCGAGTGGGGGTCTTTGACAAGGGACCAGAGAGCAGCAGATTCTCAACATTGAAGAGAGACATGTAAGGATTACAGAACAAGATGCATAAGTATGCATACAGTCACACGTCTCTATCTTGTGAGACTAGGGTTCTTTGAGTCCTAGGTCCAGAATATACCCATCCTTTCAGGGTACCACAGGCCTCTTACTCGCTGGTATCCCAACCTCCATGACAACAGAGACGACCCAACGAGGATAGCTTCTCGAGAACCCATGAAGAGCGGGTCGATCCCTACGTATGTACTCTTGTGTGTATGTATGCAGAACCCTACGCTCGCCTGCGCTAGACTGGCGGGCCCTTTGATGATGGCATAATCGCCATCCTGTCGCCTCTTAAACTAGCGTCTACTCTATCTCGACTTTTCTTGCAAGCCTTTTACAGAAGTTTTATATACATCTCCGTGGGCCCGAGACACTTTCTCTCCTCCCATTCCAGCGGCTGCGTCTCTATATCAACAGCTTATCTTTCTTGGCGATCACCTCTGATTCGCACCCCTCTTTGTCTGCAGAGGTTGTCATTGCCAGTATGGCGTTCAACCACAACAAGGATGAAGATGTCGTCGCTGGCGATGGTCCGTCCGAGCATAACTATGACTCTGGACGCTTGAATGATACAGAAGATACCCAGTCTATAGACCCGGATTCTGGTGTTAAGCGTGGTCTGAAGAATCGACATTTGTCTATGATGGCTTTGGCTGGTATCATCGGACCTGGACTTCTTGTTGGTGCAGGTGGTGCATTGAATGTAGGAGGACCAGCTGCATTGCTCATTGGATTTGGTGTTGTCGGTATGACTCCCCTTGCTTCTAGGATCTTGATGAAGATATGGCACCAAATGGTTCTATTCAGTGTTCAGATCTTTGCAAAATCCAATACTAATTCTGAACAGGTATCATCGCCTTTTGTATTATGCAGTCCCTTGGCGAGGTGACAACACTATACCCTGGCGGAGGCTCTTTCATCTCTCTCGCCGAACGCATGGTAGACAAGTCCTTCTCTGTCGCCGTAGGCTGGAATTACTTTATTATCTGGGCCGCTGTCCTCGCCAACGAGTACAATGTCATCTGCAGTATTCTCACCTATTGGGGACCGGTCGTTCCCCTATGGGGCTACTTCCTCATCTTCTGGACAGTTTTCATGGGATTCCAACTTCTCGGTGTTGAAGCTTTTGGTGAAGCCGAGTTCTGGCTTGCGCTTATGAAACTCCTCGGATTAACGGCGTACTTCATCTTCGCCATCATCTACGCCGCTGGTGGTTTGGTCGGCCAAGATGGCTCCGTTGGCTTCAAATACTGGAGCGACCCAGGAGCTTTCAACGGAAATGGCTTCCGTGGTGTTGCATCTGTCTTCGTTTTCTGCTCGACATTCTACTCTGGTGTTGAGTCTATCGCTGTGGCTGCTACTGAAACGAGAAATCCTGGTGTGGCAGTTCCTCAGGCTATTCGGCAGGTCTTTTGGCGTATTATCTTCGTCTACATGGGGTCAGCTTTCTTCTTTGGAATCACCTGCCCTGCTAATGCTGAGGGACTGGTGAACGGAGGCTCCAAGGCCCTGCAGAGCCCCATGACCATTGCGATTCAAAATGCTGGCTGGCAAGGAGGTAGGTGCATGAACTTCTCTCCCCTGCAAGATACTAACAAGCTCCTCCAGGCGTTCACCTTATCAACGCCTTCATTCTCCTGACTTGCTTGTCCGCTATCAACTCATCCATTTACTTTGGTTCTCGAACTGTTTTCTATATGGCGCAGTCTGGCAAGGCTCCTAAGATATTTGGCTGGACCAACAGCCGAGGTGTTCCAGTCTGGGCAATTTTCATCACCAATGCTGTCGGTTCCATTTCCATGATGAATGTCTCTACTGGTGCCTCCAAGGCTTACAGCTATATCGTCAACCTATCCGGTGTCAGTGCTTTCCTTGTCTGGGGCAGCATCTGCTTTATCCATATCCGCTTCCGTCGAGCTTGGGTCACTCAGGGTCGCAGTCTCGATGAGCTTCCGTACAAGGCACTCGGCTTCCCATACCTCGCCTGGTTTGGTCTTGGGGCTTGTATTTTCTTGGCATTGGTTCAAGGGTGGACTACGCTATCACCGTTCAATGCTGGAAACTTTGTGGATGCTTACATCCTGGTGCCACTGTTTGGTATCATTTACGTATTCTGTAAGCTTTTATGGCGCGGAAAGGATCCTCTCAAGCGTAGTTGGAGCATCGATCTCGACAGTGGCAGAAGAAAGGATCTGGATTACAAGAGTGGCCCAACAGAAAGCGATGTCCCTGGCCAAATGCCTTGGTGGAAGAAGGTGTGGGCTTGGTTTTGATTTTGAATCAGGGAAGTTATTGAACTTTCGGGTTACGATATTGGGCTTCCCATAATACCTATTTAGCTTACGATTGCAAACAAATATAACTGGCTTGTCTGTCTCCATATGCTGTGGGTTGATCTAGTCTACGAAATTACACTCTCCGAGTGAGAGGACAAGGCATCATTGCGAGATTATAGAAAGCACATATTACCATTCACGATGAAGTGACAATGTAAAAGTTTAGATAGTAAAAGCTATATAAATATAGATTGAAGCTCCATTACTTCATTTTATGTCTAGCCGATGCCGTATTGAACTCGGTCAGAAACGATATCCCTGGATGGGTTCTAATTAGTTCCCTCATTCTTATGTGTACGATCGTTTAGAGGGACAACAGAGACATGCTCTCTGGGCTCTAGGCTGAAGCCCACGGCCATCTCATTCCATTCGGCCATTGCGAGCGCAACGAGCTCACCGCCAGGATGCTCTGGGGTTCGCCGGAACCTTGCCTTGGCAATAGCAGCAGCATAGGAATGTCTTCCAGTGCGATCAAGGGGCATTACCTTGATCATGTTTTGCGGGCAGAAGTTGAGAGGAACCTTGACCATGACCATCTCAACACGGTATTCAGGATCAATAGGCCATGGAATATTCCTGTCGGCGATGACGTTCATCGCAGACCTGACAAGATCGTGAGTGATGTAGACGGGGTACGAATCCGGGAGATCAGGACCAAAGGTCACAGACTTGTCTCCGAACAGTGAGCGGAACTTGTCGCAGAGAGAGACCTTGAGCATGTTAAATTTAGGGCTTGAAAGCTTGTAAGTGTAAGGTATCATGATCATCTGTCAACGGAGAATTAACAGAATTTGGTATATGATGAAGTCGTGGTCCGTTATATAGACAGGCAGATGATACAAGAAACATTTCGTTTAGCTGTTCAGATGGGCACTTCTTTCACCAATAGCTCATATGAACAGAAGTACTGAACATTCAAGCATCTTCTTTGTATCAATAATTCACTAGGCTCAAATGAACAATAGTCTTTGTTCTCACAAAGATATCGGTCAATCAACATTCAGTCAAGACGAGAAGTTGTTCAGAGGTAAAGATGATCATTTCATAAATTTGTAAGTTCAAGAGTTTCCACTCTGTCGTTTTCTTCTAAAGTAAGCCAAGACGGCCTGCTCTGTTTGTCGACTGCAATCCACCACATGGAGAATCTCAAAATTGGCATTGCCCATGGTGAGTAAGTCGTTCTATACCGTGTTATGTGCTGCTTAGTGATGGATACAAAAAGATTGGGGCACTTTAGATACAGTATTTTGAGACATATAGAGCACTTTTTCTAACAATATCAATGTGGTACAACAATGTCTTTGTCAGTCAATGATGCTATTCATAGTCACATGTGATACCTCATTCCTGGTTGGACTTATTGATTCCCCGGTTTAAGTTCAGGGGAACTGCAGGGGCCCGTGCGGAGAGCTCGGGAGCGGGCTGGCGGGCGACTACAGTTGTGGGTTCCTGTACATATTCTTCCTAGATTCTGCACCAGTATATCACCGAATTGGCCTGTATCTTGAGTACCTGTACATCTAGGCTTCTGTCGATCTCATTGAAGTGATCGCAACGTGCCCTGTTGCGCACCCTCTTGAAGCTCCCAACAGACATCGACAATCTCGACTAGGGATCTTACATCACGATCGACGATTTACGTATTTGCCAAGCGTTCCGTTCGCTACGGCTTCTCCAGCAATTACCGACTCGTAGTCTACAGGACAAAGACACATATCCTCTTCAACTTCACTCACGTCATACGCATCATCCAGATAGCTCCTTTCCACCAATAAGTGGGCTATCGCTATCGTTATCGCCGTCGAATGCCTCATCGCCGTATCATGAAATTTAGCCAGGGTGCTACTGCGACTTAATTATATTCACCGATAATAATCTCTCACGATCGAACAGCATTCCTTCTGCATGTGTCACCATCCCGCTTGGTCCGTCCACGATCTATATAAACGGCACCCAAACTCGGTCCAAATACCATCCTCAACGTTGCGACCTAGGGAGGTCGAGTGAGCTTCGAGACGGCCGGTCACAAGTCGAATGAATGCAACCTCTAAACCCCTTTCTGGCCGCCTTCTTTAAGAGCTCCCTTCCCAGCCAGTGCACCCCAGTACATCACCACATCCTACTGGTTCCGTCAACGGATGTGCTTCTCACATTCCGCGAGACCGAGAGCGGGAGCGCCCCTGCTGAGGTCATCGCATCGGAGGACTTTCTCGCCAGTCATGTTCTCCGTGTGCCATCTCCAAATGGTGTCGCAGGAGGCAAAGATGGTGCCCAGAACTTGAGGGAGGTGAGAGGAAAGGCAAAGCAGTTTACAACGCTTAACGGCAAGAGTGTGGTCATCAAGGACGCTTTCATATACAGTAACAAAGGTGCGCAGCCAAGAACTGGCGAAAAGCAACATTATTAACCGAGGATAGGCTTCAAAACACTCGCCCAGGCCCAGCTTCTAAACGACATCGTCTTCTACCCCGACGTCTTCGAACCACGGCAATGGCTTCTCTACTATATATCGAGACCCCTTGTGGGCGTCTGGGAGGAGAACAAGATTACACCGGCCATCTTGGTCCCCGGTGTACGAAAGCGCAGGATTCCCGACCAGAAACATACACCAAACGCCGAGTCGACCGAAAACACGGCTCCTCGAAAGAAAGACATCAAGAGCTTTCACGACCTCCTGAACAATTTCCCCATGATTGCGCGCCAAATGCAACCCGGCCTTGAAAAGTTATTCGTCGAGTTCAGCAACGTCTTCAGAAGTCCACTACCTCCTCCCCCGTCAGCCGAGCATATTCCAGATCCTCCACCGAATGGGTCTATCAACAATGCTGCAAGGCGGGCGCGGTCCAATAGCGCATTGGCAAGCACGGGCGACGAGAGCAGATTGCCAGTGACGGAGAACTTCTATGCTGAGGACGACGAAGATATCATGAGAGCGTCTCTTGAAACCGCAGTCACAACTGCGATCGATCTCTTCCAAGGGGTCGACAAACAACAACTTTCTCTTCTTGGCGCAACGACTGATCTGACTGGTCCTCTTGTGGAGAAATTGATTGAGCGTTATGTCACAGAAAATGTCCACAGTCAACTTTGGCCGAGACTCAATGCACTGAAGAGACCTTATGATCTGGAACTGGAAGCAAAAATCAGAAAGATGCAGTTTATCGATATTTCGCAACTAGGCATTGCTATTGATGGTGGTTCGAAGGCGAAGCATGACCTCATCATTCAACTAGGACCGGCTGTTGAGGAATTCAAGAAGATATCTGCGGCCACTTGCCCTCAAGTCATGCTGGATCTTCTATTATCAACAATCAAGATCGTGTCCCGCTTGACGGATTCCTCGAAACCTCAGGCAGCTTCATCTGATGCATCCTCGGAGAAACCCATCATGACCATCAACGCGGATACCTTGGTCTCATTCTTGCTCTATGTGGTCATCCGATCACAAGTCAAGCAGCTACAGGCCCGCTTGATTTACGTCAGGAATTTTATCTTCATAGACGACGTAGACAGCGGCGAGTTGGGCTACGCGCTCAGTACGTTCGAAGCAGTGCTGGCTTATCTTGTTCTTGACTCGGCCGGCTTGAGGCGAGCCAGCAGGAGAAACAAAGCCCTGTGGGACGCGGCGAGGACAGGAACTCTGGACGACCTTACAAAGATAATGGAACCTGGCTCGGGGGCTGCTGATGATGACGAGCTGTCAGAATCACCTACGTCCAGCCGTCGAGCATCTACAGTGTTGAATCTCCAAAATGACACAAGATCGACAGGCCCGTCAAGATCTAGAAGATCATCACTGCGTCTCTCTTTTAACGATCCGTCACCATATGAACACTATTCTCATGGTTCGGGGCTGAGCCATGTATTCCCCTTCCAAGCAGAGGGTGAGGACGAAACACACGCACACGACTTTTCTATACCAATACGACGAGTGAAAAAGGTGGCGATGGACACCCGGAGCATATCAGGCGATTCCGAGGTTTCATTCCACTCTCGCACGGGGAGCGTTGGGACCATCGGCAGTGCTCTGGAAGGGGACATTTCAGTGAACCGATTATCGCAGACAAACAATTCCTTTGGAGAATCAGTTCTAATGATGGCCATCCAAGCTGAGCGTGCTGAGACGCTCAAATACTTGCTCTCCTTGACCGATTATTTCTCTCCCTCTTTTGTTCTAGATGACATGAACAACGAAGATACCACCTTGCTGAGTGCTGCCATACAATTAGGCAATGCTCAAATTATAGATTTGACACTCGGGTTTATCATCACATCGACAACTCCTGAGCAATTAGTTTCATATCTGGCACAGCAAGACATTTGGGGACGTAGCTGTGCTCATTACCTCTTCAATGCACCGTCTTTGATCACTAGAATCGGGCACCTAATACCTTGGCGACAAAGAGACAAGAACGGGCAAACTCCGCTCTTCGCTCTTTGTCGCTCTTATGATCATAAGAACTATCTGGAAATGGTGGAAGCTGGGCTCAACGCTGCAGCTGCAGCGCAACATGATGGAATGCCACTCCATATTGACGAACATGTTGACAACAAGGGCAACACACTTCTTCACATTGTCAGCAATGCGAGTCTTGCCATGAACATACTGCAATTTTGTGATGTTGACGTCAATGCGACGAACGATAAGAGGTTCACAGCGTTGATGGTAGCCAGCAAGTATGGCAGATACGACATGGTCCGTACTCTGTTCGCCGATCCAAGAGTGGATATCGGGGCAAAGGAGATCAGAGGCCTCACGGCAGTTGAGCTGGCGAAGGACGACGACGTACGGAACAAGATCGATGATCTCGCCTTGTTCAGCATGCCCCCTGGGCCAGATGCACGTATCACTGGTGTGGTCAGGGCATTCTTCGTGGAAGATGCAACAGTGAGATTGGTGTTGAAGTCAGCGGCCCCGACGGATCATGATAGTTATACGGTGACAACGAGTCGTCGCTCGCTGTCTGATTTCGAACATCTCCCTACCCTTCTGGCGCTTGAAAATCCAGCTTCGTGGATACCGTCACTCGCCGATGTTCGCTCTCCGTTCCAAATACCGTCGAAGCCATCACGAGCCATTCTGCGAGACATGCAAGCTCGGGCAGACTGGTTCTTGAAGATCATGCTAATGCACCCAACTTTTGCCACGCACGAGATGCTATGGGAGTTTTTCCTGGTACCAGAATTGCAGTTGGATATGATGGAGCAACGGACACTCCTCAAAACAGAAGCGAGGGCAGAGAAAGTGCGAGATGAATATGAACCTGTGGAGGACGTGAGGGAGGTGGAGCAATTTGTCAATCATGCGCGAGAAATGATCCGGAGCGTGAACTACTCGACTAAGAGTGCGACCAGACGCGCCAACAATCTCGGACTCGTCGCTGCAGGTACGTACACTGGACGAGCATCGTGACCCAATGAATCTGTGTGTGCTAACAGATGGCCAGACATGTACGATTCTTCGGTGCTGCTTCATCGAGCTGTTTCAACGCTGCAATTCCTCCCTCCGAGATACATAGATGCGTTTGAGACGTATGTGCGATCCATCGTCCCCACCCAGTCAAACGCGCAAGCAAACCTTCACTCGTCATTCCTGGCTCTGCAATCTACGGTTCAGGCACTGCTGGCGTCCCTGTCTCGGCCACCCTCTATCATTTCTCAGATGAGGGCGGCCAAGCGTGAGGCCGACAGAAACTTTAATTCTCTTAACAAGTCGAGG